TGGTTGCACTATAACACATTAGAAGGGATTGATTGAACCAGCCCTGCAAAATTAGGTCCTTGATATCAGGATGGAGTTGTCAGCACATTTAGGTTTTTGGTTAGGGTGACTATGTTTTATGATGAAAGGTGTACTTTTTATAACATAAAATAAAATAAAATAAATTTGGCATGGGATGCTTTGGTAGTTCCCCTGGGGGATGTTTGCTCTGTAGCCTCAGCCATTTTACATTTTCTCTCATGGCAAGCAGGTCCTGTGAGTATATATCTCTCCCCATCATGGTGAGGTTGGCCTTAAGCATCGCTCTCAAGGAAGCCATTTCCTTTCTGAACATATCAAATCCACTTCAGTGGAGAACAGGGTAGAGCAGGGTGCCAGCATCACTTCAATGCCGCACTGCTCCTCTGTCTACAACCTACCCTGACCTTGATGTAGGTTTGACACTGGCTATTGTAGCTCTGCATGTGTAACAGAGCGATTGGGAGTATTCTTATCAACACATAGAGAAAATATGCTTCTATCTGAAGTTTGACTTATTCAACACTCTACATACAATATTGTCATCGCTGTGTTTCATGAGCAGTGTTTCAATAATAACTGACACTATTTTAATTATATATTATTTTTAACCTCAGTGTGATTTGGGAAAGTCTCACCCAAGCATAAAAGTTTTGTCCCTATTACTGGACCAGTGTTTGACAATATGCAGTTTGTAGTGCCTCACCTTAAAGATATTACTGATTTTGGGAATCATGTCCCCAAAACATCAACATAAGTGGCTATAAGTGTGTCTTTAAATGCCAACCTCCAACCCCCTTAAACCTTTTCCACTTTGGGCTTGGCTTGCAGATGCAGTCACATCCTCAGTACCAGTGAGGGACTGGCTATAGTAGATGGCCCCCATCCAGTTGTTAAACTGTCCCTGTGGTTCTCCGCCAAATTATTTGGCTGTCCTTGTGATGGCATTGAACTGTTTCCTGCATCAGTTCTCACAGGACTTGGGCAACAATTATTAACCAAATGTGTTATCTCCTCCCAAGCTAATTTAACATCATCTGCCCTCAGTGGCTTGTTTACAGGGTTGGATATTTGGTTTTGGTGAGTCAGCTTTTCCCTGCACGTGAACATTGGTTTATACTTGAGAAAAACTTTTTTTGTGTGTGTATGTGTATGTGTGTGTGTGTGTATGTGTGAGTGCGTGTGTGTGTGTGTGTGTGTGTGTGTGTATGTGTGAGTGCGTGTGTGTGTGTGTGTGTGTGTGTGTGTGTGTGTGTGTCTGGTAAATACTCCAGACAGCTCTCTGTAGCTTCCATATTTAAACTGAAAGAGCAGCATCTTTTAGAGGGAAGAATAAGAGTGTATCTGATTCCAAATCACAGTCCATTTCCAACTGTGCAGCTGGTGCACTGCACCACATGACTTCAACCCCCAAAATACCAAAAGTCCATCACCTCACCCCATGTGGACAGGGTTTTGCACCAATGTGCATTGATTCAGTAAAGTGAGACCCTCAAACTGTGAAGGGGGCATACAGTCCATTCATTTTGATCAATCCATCAGCCTTCTCATAATGATATGTTTCATAACAGCAAAAAGCCATTATATTTCCTCAATATAAGGGCTTTTCTTTTATCATAGTAGCGTTTGTCACTATCAAAACAAATGGGGTCTTAACACGAAAACATACATGTCATCATGAGAGCCAAGTGTTCAATCAGAGTCCCTTCTTTCTAGCAAATGAATTTTTGTTTCAGGTGTGAGAATGCTGAGATGCAAAACTCACAAAGCAGACATGCAGAAAATCTGGCTTGAGATGAACATTTTTTTCATGGCAGTACAAAACAGAGAGATCTTAATGTATGAATAGACACTGAGGATTTATTCTCATCATGTGGCCATATGAATGTAAATGTACTCACTGCAGGAGGTTTCAGGGTTTCAGACAGCAGCGACGCCTCGGGTGGTGGAAATGACTAAGCCTCTGGGTCAACTGCAGAACTGATTCTACAGCTGTATGTGAAAGGCTTTCGTCCTAAAACGACCAAAAAAACAAAAAACATGGCTGTCTGTCAGTACACAATTTCATGATCATGTGCAACAGTTATCCTTTCAAACACCTGGCAACCAAAACAAAAATAATCTTTTGTCATATGGTCGAAAAAACAAAAACTTGTCTAGCACATGTATTGTGTTCCTGCAATTGCAATCAATCTACACTCAATACCCCATGTAGGTGCAGCTAACTATTAACTGGCAAAATCAGGTGTGCTAGTGTAACTAAATTTGACAAAAATGGGATTTCACCAAGTGTGACTGCTCCTGTCCTGCAAAGTTTGATTGGTGGTTTACCCCTAAGGGCCACAATGAAGTTTAAATACAAGTAACTTATAATGGATTTTTAGATAAAATTTTACACAAATTGCCCAAGGGCCATTTCAATTTATTGCATTTGGTTTATTTAAAGTGTAAAATATGAGAATGAGTGATGGAAATAAATAATCAAAATGTACACCACTTTTGTATTTATAAGAAAAACCCCTCCAACCTTCTATGGACTCATTATAACTGTTTTATACGATTTTATAACAATTTTATAGTCAACTCTGTCGTCATCGAGTGAAGTTATTCATTGAAATTAATTAATCATCAATTAAGTCAAGTAGTGCTGTACTTTCAAAATGGCCAATATTAAATGCTTAGGGGGATAATAGTAGCATTTGCGTATATTCACACATCATTATGTAGTAACATATGTCAGTTCCATTGCCTACATACAGTAAACCTTGATGTGAGCATATGTACATATGTTTATAAATGCAAAAAATAAGACACGTGTTCTGTTGTTGTTGTCCGCCTGAGTGTCATCTTCACCATGTATTGGCGTAGCGTGCAAGAATTCTTCTAATTGTAGCTTGCGGCTATTTTCTTTCTAAGAAAACATTTGCTGCTGTATAAACGTTCGTCAAATAAAGTAACCATTATGACCCAGTGGTTATGTTTTTTACATGCATTTTCCCACTGACACATTTTCTCATACATGTCTCGTTTTCACATAAAACACTCACGCCCCATCTTTGTACAAAGACGTATCATTATCAATCCCCTGCTCAGCATCCTCCTTCTCTATCAGATTATGTATTGTTTTATTTTGACAGCCAAACTCAAATTAGTCTAACGTAATTAGCTTAAAACAGGCCTGTTAAGTACACTGTCATATTTTGTCATTGCCACTGAGTATCTGGTTGATGGGCGGAAAACAAGACTTGTTTTCTGCCTGTCAAATATCCAATTATAGCTGAAATGCAGTATTCTTAGTTGATAGTTGAAGTTCCATTACAATCAGATTTTAAAAACTGACGATACTTCAAATATGGCAGCATAATTATTATAAGTTACACAAGTAGATATATTCAAAATGTCCAGATTTATCCTGGTACTTTGGCAAGTAGGTGAAGCAGTGTTTAAATAATAAAATGCAGAATTAATTTAAGGCATCATAAGAAAATGACACACTAATTTTAACAAAAAAACAAAAAAAGGAAGAAAATTCTCCCTTTAAGAATGCCACAGTGAGTACTTTAACTTTTGCAATCAAGTAGTTCATCATCTATTTAACAAGAAAGGATTAGACCCATTAAATTTGCTCTGCTCTTTTATGATGTGTTATTGTCTAATAAACCATGAAAAAGGGGGAGAATTTTTGCATACACTAGCACTTGATAGCACACTGTTGGGTGCTCCACGGCCAGGGGCCAAAGTTCTTAAATGCAATTACTGATGAAAATCGTTTCTTTATCAGTAACTAAGACACACAATTTCACTGGCAAGTTGATAATAATGTTCACAGTCATTTTAATGTTTTGTTTGAAATGGTAATTTTTTTTTTTTCCCATTAACCAAGATTTGATGTTAAGTATTGTGTTTTCCTTTCAGTGTAATGGAATTCTGGCTTTATACTGCAAGGTTATTGTAACTGGAAACAAATAGGGAAGGATATAGTGCTGTTCAGTATATAAGAATAGTAGTCATGCTATTGTATTCTTAGCCTGAGTTACATTTAAGTCGCCCAATCTATGTAGGGTAAGGTGTTTATTATCTGCTGTCTCGATGATATTTTAAGTAAAGAAACACCATAAATCTGGCTTCTTTCAGATCTGTTTTTAGATGACATGTTCCGACTTTGCTACTTTTGCCTTTATTTGACAGTCAGACAAGAAACATGACATGCAGCAAAGATCCCGGCTGCAATTGAACGGTGGATGTTGCCGTAGCTGAATGGTTGCGCTGTAACCACTCAGCTACCAAAGCAAAGCGCCCCATCTGTCCAATTTTTTTAAATCCATTCTCTCTAAAATATTCATATCACACTGGGTTATGTGTATAGTGCCATTGTCTAATATTAAGGGCAACATTACAATTGTATTAACTATCCCTTGCAGCTTTAGTGAGGTCTTGTTTTGTGTTTGATAAAAAAGGCAACATTTTGTAGCACATTATTTTAACAATTCATGAAGTCGCAAGTCAATAGTTGTAATCTGAACAGTAATTGACACCACTGGGTAAAGGGAGATGGTGTTCTTCCACATTAGTGGCTGGATGTCATAACATATCATAAAGCAGCCTTCTAACCTTGTCAGAATTTATCATGACACCAATTAGATTTAAAAAAAAAAAAAGACAGCCACGCGGCTCAGGGTGTACTTCATGCTCATCTGCAAAAGGGTAACAATCTTGTATGGAGAGGCACAATGTGTGCGGCTTTATAAAAAACACTGGGGTGGCATGAAGGGTGAACAGTCTGAGGAAGAGCAGAAAATAAATACACATCATGTCACAGTAAAGTGACAGTGACAAGGGCACTATCTTATTTGTTCAGTACAACACAATTAACCTAACTCTATGACATTTTCTTGTACTACTAAAATAGACTTTGTCACGTAACTGCTCTCTTTTTCTGTCTCCCTCTCCCTCCTTCTCCTCTTCTTTTTGTCTCCCATCAGGTCTCCACATAATGGAGCGAGAATGAACAGAGAGCGGCTTAAAAAAAAGCATGAACTGGAGGTTTATTGAGGTCATCTGCTTCCTGTTTATATGGGACCATATAACAGTTCAGTCTTCCCGCCAGGACCCATTGGCCACTGAGCAACATGTCACCAAGCAATATGACTGGCTCATCTCTGACCGTGGACCTTTCCACCACTCACGGAGTTATCTGTCCTTTGTGGAAAGATTCCGCCAAGGATTTACGACCAGATATAAAATTTATAGGTGAGTTCACTTTCAGCCTGTGTACTGATGCCACACAGGCTTTTTAAGAGACTGTCTGTTTTAATGTTTTTTTCTATTTTGAGGTTTTAGTTGCAAAAAGCAGCACTGTGTACATTTTTAACCTATTAAGTGTGCATTTTTTATATACACTCTCAACACTGTGAACTTCTTTTTGTTATATTAATGAAGTGTTCTGCTCGGACTTCTGCTCTCCTATCTTTTTTTTGGACGAATTTGATTCCCCCCAAACAGACACACAATAGAAAAATAATGGTCATTATATACCTCTAAGATCCTATTAACTAAACATGCGAACGTTTGTCATTTGTCGTGATCTACTGGTCAGTAATAGACTCTCTGCACGCTAGAAAGATAGTATTGGCAGGTGCAGTGTACTCAGGTGCTGCCTCACTTCTCACTATTAATATTTGGACAAATTTGCACAGATAACGAGGTACTTCCAAAAAGATGGGCAACTTAAGAGAGACAGATTTCAAAAAAGAGGAAAAATGGTAAAGCACAGACTGAGATAGTCTGACCTTTATTCCCTTGTGTGTGTCAACACCCAAAAATACTGCATCCACCACCTCCCATTATGTCGTTCACAACTACAGTATACACTCCTGATTTGTAACACAGACTTTCTGCTATAAATTAGACAAGGGTTATTTTCTACCTGAATACATTATGCAGTCGTTTTCACAGGTAAACTGATGTTTAATATTGGTGGAATGCCCCTTTTAAAACTGTGGAGAAAAAAATAGCATTTAAAAGCTGTATAAAACACATTTACATGGACATTTATTAGTTAAACAATGTCTAACCCTGTTGAATTGACACCGTCATAGTATGACACATTAAAAATGTGTAAATGATTCACCACCAAAATGATCCAGGGACTAAAATATATAAAGTCACATTAAGCTGGAAGGGATAAAATATATTTAAGAACTAAATTGATTAATCTGTCCTCCTGCTTTTGAATTTCACACATATCAAAATACATAATGACAACTATTAGTTCTCAGTTTTTCATGGTAACCCCAGCACTAAACTGTATTAGGACCATTACAAATACACCGATCACTGATTTACTAAACTTCCATCTTTGCTTCCGTACTTGTGACCATATAATACAGTTTGATGTTCAATAATTGGAGCATTGATTATATTCTCCACCTTATACTTTGTACAGTCGTTTCAACCAGGGCTCCCTGGAAGAAGAGAACTTGTATTTCAATGGGACCTTCCTGTCCAAATAAAAGATAAATAAATAAAATAAGACTTTCCTTTGAATTGCATATCTCCTTATAGTTCACATACAGAGATGCAGGTACAGAAATCAGGTGGCTAGAAACCCTCTTTCTCAGAATGAGGTGCTTTGATTCCCTTGCATCCCTCTGCAGTCTGCAAACTCAGAACTATAGAAAGACTGAGAAAGAGTAAGAGAGTCATTTGCCACATTCCTTTTGGCAGTTCTTTCACAGAGTTTGTTCTCTCCCTCTCCTCCGTCTCTCTTGGTAACTTGCCACAGCCCCCGGTCCCTACTGGCTTTCATGCCTTGATATTGTCACATGAACAGTAAACAATGCATTTGCATAATGCGTAACTTGACAGAGCGGGATGTTGCACAGAGACATGAATCTCAGAGGCAAAACTTCTGAAGCCGCTTTCCACAGACACTGTACAGCTGTCGAGTGCTGTCTGTGATGCCGCGGTGATTTATTAAAATAGAGTGTGTGTGTTTGGATGTTGGGTGCTGCTGGGAGCGTCGCTGGGCCCAGGTGGCTCCTGTTGTTTCTCCTTCTTAACAAACCATTAGTGGCGTCAAGTTCGCCCATCAGTGCTAGATATCCCTTTCCTCATGACAAGACAATTAAATCTTGCATTGAGAGTCTGAAAAAAACCCCAAAAAAACGGATGTATTTCTCATTAAAAAATAAATGACAACAATCAACAATGCACATTCACATCTGTCAGACATCTGCAGACCTGTCAGAGTGAGTGAAGACGGAGTGATTTCACTCAGAATATGCCTTTGAGAACATTCTCTATGCAGCATTATAGCACATAGAGTATATGTATATAGAATGGACTGGATGAGAGATGCTTCTGAGCATGGAATACATATCTATATATTTATATTAATCATGTACATTATTTGAGGCAAGGGTGAGAAACGTTTCCCCCAATGGTCCAAGTGTTTTCCAAGGATTTTCATCCCAACATGGACCAGCAGTTAATTTCAACGATTAGTACATCTTCAACCAGAGAGGGTGAGGAAATAAGTGACATCAGCTGGTGTAGTGTTCAGTTGGAATGAAATCATACATACCCTCAGTCCTCCTCGGCACATGATTGCCCAGCTCGTGCTCTACTCTAACCAGCAATGAGGACTGAATCGCCTTGTAAATTTCCCCAGGGACTTTCTCTGCCTCGACGATTTAGCGGTGGAAAGTGGTTGAATCAGATTTGCAGAGAGACAAAGCATCCATTCCATTCGGGTTCTCTTATCAAGAGAGATTACCCCGGAGGCATGCTGCGTGGACAATGCCAACCTGATCAGCAACAAACAAATCTGCCCCATCTTTAATAACATGGGCACTGCGCCTAATTTGAAGGATAAATACAGATTTTTAGGAGGTGCCAGCTTCTTGTCTAGTGCTCTGAAAAGGTCAGTGTTGCTTGAAGGGTAAAGACACACCACAAGGCACCAATTACCCTCTCCCTCTAGACTTATGTCTCTTAAAGAAATGATTGGAGTGAGTTTTGTATTGAAGTAAGCAATCTTCACTTCTGTGTCACTGCTGATTGCAATCTTCAAACTGAATCCCTTTTTTTCCTTTCTTTCCTGTTATTGTATGCATGAGTGTACATTTCCTGTATAGTATTCATCAGTCACAAGAAAGCCGCTTTCACTGCTGGCTGTGCACTGCTCTTGTATCAGAGCTACAGCTCAATAATGTGTATCAATGTGTGTTTCAGTTAGGGGCGAAATTCGATGGCCTGTTTTGGTCACACTAGCATCTCTCGTTCTGACGCTTGTACTCTATTATGGGGGTTGAATGTGTTTCAGATGATGCGTGTTCTCTGTTTGGCCTTTGTTCGCAGAGCTCTATCTCAGGTTCTTGTGAGCCTGAGTGAAAATCCAATATAAATGCAAATCTGGTAGCCATTAATGCATTTTAAAGGCCTCAAATCAGAATTGCACTGTAATCAAAGAAGCGAGATGTGGTGGGTTGTTATTTAGAATAAAAATATTTATGAAAATGCATAGCTCTGATTGATCACACTTTTAAAAGCCATGCTGAAGTGAATGAATAGAGGGGACTGATAGAGCTGCTCTTGTCTTTGGAGCAGACCTCATCAAAACCTCAAAATCTGTACAAGGAACTGAACAAAGGCCTGTAATGACCTGTTGAAAAATACCACTAAATTCAATAAAGACCAAGATGTTATTAATGGTAATAACAGAAGCTGACGCATTTTTGGATTTGGTTGCTTGCAAAGTCTTGACAGAATCTTTAAACAATTTCAACTATGCTTTATGCTCTGCAAGCATGATAACATAATGTATAAACCAAGTGGCATTTAGTTTATACTAGAAAGGGAAAATTGAGCCATTGTATGTTTTACTACACTGTCTCAGATAACTGCAAAGCCATGGTTATCATATCTGTTATCACTGTTTAAATTACTGACTCTTTAAAACCTTTCGAGATTACTATCACATACATATGTTACTAAAATGGCTGTATCCACTTAAAAAGATAATAAATAATCACATTTATCACTTGCTGCTCTTCATCTGACACAGATCTTCCACAACCGAGAGTGTTATATTAGCTTCACTCGTATCTGAGTCTGTCTCGACCTACATGCTTTTCTTTCCCTCTTTATTCCATTTTGATCTGTCAGGACGATACAGTAGTAAAAGCTGCTATTTATATGACTAATGTTACATCCTCTGATTCCCAGCACAAAAATAAACATGGTTTACGAAGCCAGTGGCTAGCTAGGTAAGCAGTCAAGTTATAGAGCCTCTTCTCTCTGCACACTCATGCAGAACTGTGCACAAAATGACATGGACAAAATCGGTATATATATATATATATATATATATATATGAAAATACATGCGTCACATCACGGCACATAAATGGAGAAAGTTGTCAGTTGCTTATTTGCACAATGTTTGCTAACAAGCAGGCTAATAGCTAGCTTGTGCATGTTGACCAGCCAGGCAGTGTTGCGCAGGTACTTTACTTCCAGTTGGTCTTCACTGTAAGGACACGTCAAATTCATATGTCCTTCTGTATTTTTAAAGTTTTAAATAAGCGCAAATTCATAATGTGTTTATAATATGATATTTATACATAACATGGATATCCAAGGTGACCTTTTTCCTCCAACTATAGCTCCACTCCTACCTAAAACCATTGTTTGATGTAAAGTTTGACAGGCGTGACATGCTTATATTCTGTATGAGCACATAATGCGTATCTCTAACTGAACATTTCCTTCATGAATTAATTATTTCTAACTATAATCAGTCCGCAGACATCCACTTGATCAGCATTAAACCTTGAATGAATTATCTGCAGTTCCAATTTGCATGTGCAAACAACTTCTTTTATTCAGTCTCTAATTTAAACCGTTCATCAGATAGCCCTGCGTCTTGAGGCTCTCTTCTCAATTTTATTTCTTTTTTTTTTAAATCTCATTTTTCTTTTAATTTGTCATAAACAGAACGTCATATGTTGCAGCGATGCAATATGTTAACATATTTACTACATACACATAGGACGACATACAATTTTAGCCAACATACAACTTGACAAAAACACATTGACTTTCCTCATGTGCTCAGTGTGGATGTGTCTGTCAGTGCTGATCTGGGCCCCATTTGTTTTAAACAGTAACAAGGTGTAACATTTGTCCGACTCAGGTCTTGAATTAGTTTGGATGAGCCATCTGTAATTGGATAGAGCGAGGGAAGGC